TAAGGGTCACTGTGTAACTGTACAGGGTCAGTGTTTATTCAGCAGGGCAAGGGTCACTCGCTGTGTAACCGTACAGGGTCAGTGTTTATTCAGCAGGGTAAGGGTCACTCACTGTGTAACCGTACAGGGTCAGTGTTTATTCAGCAGGGTGAGGGTCACTCACTGTGTAACTGTACAGGGTCAGTGTTTATTCAGCAGGGTGAGGGTCACTCACTGTGTAACTGTACAGGGTCGGTGTGTATTCAGCAGGGTGAGGGTCACTCACTCTGTACAGGGTCAGTGTTTATTCAGCAGGGTGAGGGTCACTCACTCTGTACAGGGTCAGTGTTTATATAGTATGCGTGAAGGTGTTGAATTCTGCAGCCCCTGAGTTGATGGGTCAGTTACATTTTGCATTTTTTGTGTTGGTCATCCTGCACCATTGATGAAATTACTGATGTCTCACATTCAGCGAGAGCCCTGCGATATTGCCCCGAAGAGGGGAGGGAGTTTCGAAGCAATTACCTGTTCTCCTTCCCATTCTGAAGGAGTGACTGCCTGTCATTGGGAGTCCTGTCAGTGCAGACGTATGTGTTCCTCCTGCTCATGGCACTGGCTGGAATATTGTTCTGCAGAACCAAATGGAGAATGTTACTTATCCCGGCCAAGGAATCGCTGCCCTGAACTTTCCCCACACCAGGACACCTCCTGGTCGCTAAGCTTGGCCTGGGAGACCACACAGTTCAGTGACTGGCCTGGGCTGTCCCTTTAAGGCTGCTATCCCTAGGCAGTTGGCCTCTAGCCCCTTGTCTCAGGTTCTAGTGAACAGTGTGTCCTGTTCGGATTCCAATCACTGGCTTTTCACTGACAAAAAAAAGGATTGTGAAGAAGGGTTGGTGAAAACCGATGGGAACACCTCTCTATGACGAATTGGAGTAGCCTCCGGGAACGAATAAATCCCAGGAGGAAGAGAGTCTGGGGAATAATAAAAACATTGTGTTTCTCTCCCCTTGTCGTTTGCCACGTGCACTCAAGTCACAGGTGACAATTGCTGGAAACATCTTGAAGGCTGATCGACCGAGTGAGGCATTTTGGAGGTGATGCATCCAGGAGTAAGCTCCCTCTTAGTTGGCACCCTCAGTTTTAGTGGGGGTTGAGTGGTCTGAGATCCAGACTCAGATGGAGGAGTGACATTGCCAATGGTCCAGGAAGGGCCTGGAGACCAGAGAAACGGAAGCTCAATATCGAGCAAACTCCTGCCCATATGAACATAAGAAGTAGGAGTAGGCCCCATCTGGCCCCTTGAGCCTGCTCTACCATTCAATAAGATCATGGCTGATCTTTTCATGGCCTCAGCTCCACTTACCCGCCCACTCACCATAACCCTTAATTCCTTTACTGTTCAAAAATCCACCTTAAAAACATTCAAAGAGGAAGCCTCAACTGCTTCCCTGGGCAGGAAATTCCACAGATTCACAACCCTTTGGGTGAAGAAGTTCCTCCTCAGCTCAGTCCTAAACCTGCTGCCCCTTATTTTGAGGCTATGTCTCCTAGTTTCACCTGCAAGTAGGAACAACCTCCCTGCTTCTACCTTATCTATTCCCTTCATTATTTTGTATATCTCTATAACATCTCCCCTCATTCTTCTAAATTCCAATGAGTCCTGCCTCATAAGGCAACCCTCTCAACTCCGGTATCAACCGAGTGAATCTCCTTTGCACCCCCTCCAGTGCCAGTACATCCTTTCTCAAGTAGGGAGACCAAAACTGTACACGGTACTCCAGGTGTGGCCTCACCAGCACCTTGTACAGCTGCAGCATTACCTCTCTGTTTTTAAACTCCATCTCTCCAGCAATGAAGGAGTATATTCCATTTTCCTTCTTACTTTACCTGCTGCACCTGCAAACCAACATTTTGTGATTCATGCACAAGGACACCCAGGTCCCTCTGCACAGCGGCACGCTGCAATTTTTTCACCGTTTAAACAATAGTCCATTTTGCTGTTATTCCTACCAAAATGGATATAACCCTGGAGAAAATTGCAAGGGGCATTAAACAAAATTAAGGTTTTGTCTCAAGTTCAGAAGAAGAGTTGGACTGGTCTTGCAACCTTCTCTCTGCTTTCTCTCCATTGATGCTGCCAGGCCTACTGGGTTTCTCCAGCACTTTTTCAAATTGTTGTTAGATTTCCAGTTCTTTGCTTTGTTTTATTTGCTTGAGGTCTGTCTCTTCACCAGATTAAAAAAATAAACACATTGAAAACAGCGGGGCCCTGTTTGACTGACAATTAAGCATTAGCAAATGGGGCAATGGGCTTTCTTCCTTTCTGATTGGTGCAGGAGGGCAGTGAGTCATGAGGATGGGCATGTTGACTGACCAATGGCCGATGGCCGTGGGCAGGGGTGTGAGTCACACGGTAACACCTCTGGGAATGTAGTTCGAGAGCGGCAACCCGGGCCGAGGCTCTTTCTGATTGGTCAGGGCTTTTCAGGGGGGTGGGGGCAAAAGGGGCAGGCATTGGAATGGGGAAATGGGGGTAATCAAGAAACACCAAACACCAGGTCTTAAGCTCTCGACAAACAAATAAAAATTACCCACCCGCCAAAAATTAGATCAGGGGTGAACAATCTGCATCACTGCACCACCCCACCACCCCACCACCCCACCACCGGCAGGAGGCCAGAACGACAACCCAATTGGGCAGCGTGACTCCTCCAGAGGCAAAAAATGTTGACATGGCGTTTACATTGTCCGTGCCAAAGCCTCGCGACAGGACGTGAGAGCTTGGGTGGAAAGGACAGCTTTAGATGCCAGTCTCTGGTCCGACAGCAGTGAAAATTCCACACACCAAAGCTGCAGCGACCGAAGGGGTAAAAATTTCCAAGGTCATTTGCTGGCGGAGATGGATAGACGGAGGGCGCGCAACAACGTGAGCTGAAGGCAAGACAGGAAGATATTTTAAAACTCGTTCACAGCTTGGTTGCTCGCCCCTCAAGATCCTCAGCCGAGTGTCTCGTGAGGCCATTTAAAAATCAGCCATGTTGCTGCAGGACTGCAGTCACGTGAAGGCCAGAGCGGGTAAGGATGGCAGATTTCCTTCCCAGAGGGACATCAGGGAACCTGTTGGATTTTTACCACAACTGATCATAGGTTCATGAGAGAGCTCCCCCTCCAAATGCACCGCATTTGCTGAACCACAAGATGGGACAGGATCTCAAAGTAGAATTTCCAGGAAATATTTGGGAATAATGTTAGGATTATAATGTGCACAGCAATGTGACACATCTATTGTCCATAAAAAATAAAATGCGACTTTTATCGAGCAAATACAAGAAACATTAAGTGACCAATTGACCATTTCTGATGAAGGGTCTAGGCCCGAAACGTCAGCCTCTCTGCTCCTATGATGCTGCTTGGCCTGCTGTGTTCATCCAGCTCTACACCTTGTTGTCTCGGATTCTCCAGCATCTGCAGTTCCTACTATCTCTGATTCAATTTTAACCCCACTGCGAAGCCTCTTCTAAGGATGCCTA